ACTATAATATATTTTTAAAAACCAACTGAAGTAGTATAGGGAGCAACCAAATTGATTTAAAAACTCTAGAAAACAGTCAACAAGTGGACATTTCAGAAAGGCAAATTTTGACTTAAAGGCAAATTTGGACACTGGACTTGAAGAAGGAAATGACCACGTGTCAAGAATGTTGTAGAAGAAATTTCTGTATCATGTGGGTGGCTGAATTAGATGAGCTCTAGGGCAGTTTCCAACTATAGGATTCTCTGATTCTAGGCCAGATTCTTATGTTCTTTTCCCACACAGTAAAGCTTCATTTGTTTCCTTTAATATTAGTTTCAGTTTATGAAGCTTATTGATATTTTCATTGTCATTATCTGAATCATTCACCAACAAGAGCGTGGCTTTGTAGTTTGTGTAACCTTTGGCAGTCTCTGATGTTGTAATGCTTGATGTGTTATAATACTTGAACATTATAATAATGGGTGCTGGGGAAACTGACAAATAAACATGTCAGTTCCCATGGTGGTCAGCCTTCCTAGGCAGGCATCTACAGGGTAGCCGTCCCTTGGCTGAATATCATTTAGAGTCGGTCATCTTTATCAAGAGAACATGCAGGCCCATGAACTGGGGCTTTAAAAGTTTACAGTGAAAAATTATGGGACTGTGATTGTGGCTGTGAGTTGATGTCACATTTATAACAACACAGTTTGCAAGTGACTCAGGGGAGTGCCAATGATTTCCTGCTGGGAAGGGGAATTGGTCCCTTGATGGAAGTAATAATTCTGTTTAAACCATGGGGAAGCCACACTGACCTTATGATTTGTGTTCCTTTTGGATTTCATTTTATTCAATTATTTTGTCTTTACCATTACATCTGAAGCAATTCTTCAGGAAAATGCATAATTTTGCATATCAGATTCATGTCATTTCTCAAAAAGAGTCATTTAAAGGGAACTGTTGATTCCATTACAAAGATGATGATGGAATCCGTAGTTAATACATTGGATTGGCTCTGAGATCCAGTACTTAGAGAACAATTTCTTATTGGCTGTGTCTTATTGTCTTTGGTCTAATGTTTTAGATTGTACTGAATGTATAGTTACTATGGAGACAGATGAAAATAGGCATACAGTTTTAGGTATCAAATTGTCAACAAATTTTCCATATAAAAATAGGACGTAGAGTCAGAAGGAAGGCGGATAAAGGCTTTTTTTAAATTTTAAGATTTTATTTATTTGAGAGAGAGGGAGAGAGAGCAAGCATGAGGAGAGGGGAGGGGTAGAAGCAGGCCTCCCATTGAGCAGGGAGCTCCATGTGGGGCTCTATCCCAGGCTCCAGGTTCATGACCTGAGCTGAAGGCAGATGCTTGACTAACTGAGCCACCCGGGTGCGCTGGACAAAGGCTTTCAAAACTGTTATGAGATTTGATCTATGATGTGGGGGTGGGGGTGGGGATGAGAAAGCCAGAGAGCAGTCGGACTTTAGACAATAAATTCTTCAAAATATTTTTTTGTGTTTTTTTTTTAAAGATTTCATTCATTTATTCACAAGAGACACACAGAGAGAGGCAGAGACACAGGCAGAGGGAGAAGCAGGCTCCACGCAGGGAGCAGGATGTGGGACTGGATTCCCGGATCCTGGATCCTGGGAGCACACCCTGAGCCAAAGGCAGACACTCCACTGTTGAGCCACCCAGGTGTCCCTAAATTCTCGAAATCTTAAGCCATTTGAAATGATCGTTTTTGAATCATCACCACTGAAACACACAATTTGCCTTGTAAAGAAAAATCTTTCTATTTAGTGAGATTTTACTATTTTCAACAGTAGTAATAAAATAAAAGCTACAAGTTGATTTCATGCAAACAATTCATGTATTTATCCAAATGAAGGGCAGCCGGGGTGGCTCTGTGGTTTAGTGCCGCCTTCAGCCCAGGGCCTGATCCTGGAGCCCCAGGATCGAGTCCCACATCGAGCTCCCTGCATGGAGCCTGCTTCTCCCTCTGCCTGTGTCTCTGCCTCTGTGTGTGTGTCATGAATAAATAAATAAAATCTTTAAAAAAAATGAGTACCACTGATCTTTGAACAATGTAAGGATTCAGAATGCTGACCCCTATGCAGTCAAAAATCTGAAAATCCCTGTACAATTTTTGACTCCCCCAAAACTTTACTAATAGCTCACTGTTGACTGGCAGCCTTACTGATAACATGAATAGTTGATTAGTACATATTTTGTATGTTATATGTGTTATATACAGTATTCTTACAATAAAGTAAGCTAGAGAAAAGAAAATGTTACTAAGAAAATCACATTAAAAAAACACATGGAAGAAAAAATACATTTACTGTACCACATATATATAGAAAAAAGTCCATGGATGCGTGGACCTGTGCAGTTCAAATACCTGTTGTTCAAGGGTCACCTGTATTTGCACTCTGTGTTTCATTTGTAAACATTGTAACTCAAAAGAAAACAGTTTTAAAATGCCATTTTATTTTGAGGAAGCTAAGCTTTGCTTTGTAATCTGACCAACTAATAAGCAATTATGACCATACATTTGGGGCGTCTTGCTTTGGGGAACTCCAAAGACAGTAGCAAGCTGTCTGGCAGTAATTATAAGTGTCATTATCCTTGTGTTATTTATAATGAATCCAATAGGATGAGGGTGGTGTCTCCAGTCACCCCGGAACTTGAATTAGAACCTTTACGACCTGAATGACAACAGTGGGCAGTCAGAGTCACTGCTGTTTTGGAATGTAAGTAGCATTTCTAAAAGGAACACGTGTTATTTACATACATAAAGTAAATATAGACAGTTTGGCTTAGGCTAAAAATACTCAAGGTAAGTTGCAGGACTGGATAGTAAAAGAATGAGTTCATATTGTGGACTTTTCAAAACATAAAAATTCTTTCTAACATATCTATTTAAGATGAAAGTCAGTTTTTGATTCAAATATAACAGAAGGGAGTTCACAAGAAATGTTTGTATAAGAAATGACAAATGTATATTATAGACAAGATCTCAATTTACAAATTAGTCTATTTATTATTATTTATTTATTTATTTATTTATTTATTTATTTATGATAGTCACAGAGAGAGAGAGAGAGAGAGAGAGAGAGAGAGAGGCAGAGACACAGGCAGAGGGAGAAGCAGGCTCCATGCACTGGGAGCCCGACATGGGATTTGATTCCGGGTCTCCAGGATCGCGCCCTGGGCCAAAGGCAGGCGCCAAACTGCTGCACCACCCAGGGATCCCCTCAATTTACAAATTAGTCTTAAGCAAATTATACTTTGACAACTTTTTAGAGATTGCATGATTATAAATCTGAAATTTGAAAATTATAAAATATATTTTGTGTGTAACATTCTTTAAAAAGTATCCTGAGAAAGGCAGTATGTTATTAATCATTTATAAAACAAGGCAAAGAAATTGAATTTAGAATCTTCTTGTAGGTTAGTTGAACAAACAAGACTTTCTCATAGATCCAGAAGTTGGCATTGGTCTTCCTGCCTGTGGTAAAGCCTTGAAGAGGGGCAAGGCAGACAGTTTGAAAAAATAGAAAGGGGTCCCTCCTTTCTGCTGAGGAAGGAAGCACAAAGTGATTGGAGCAGACTGAACGTAGGTCTCCTATTTGAAGAAGTCCTTGTACAGGGACTTCTTGTACCATCTCTTATCAACAGGTATTTCTCTGCCCCAACACCCTCTGTTGTGGGATGACTGTCAGAGGGTTACTCAAGAGAATACTTTTTTTTTTTTTTTTTACTGCAGAGAGGGCTGCTGCATAAACACGACAAGTATGGCATGGAAAACATGATATTCTTCAGTTGAATCCTGTGAGTCACGGCTGCAGATGAAGCATGTGAGGTCAAGGGCCTGACTGCTGAGGCAGAGCAGTGGTGGAGGGAAATCTGGTTAATACCATTTGGGGGAAAATTGCCTCCTCTTCGGCATGGGAGCCTTGCCCTGCCTACTTTTTTTCTCCTGCCCTCTCCTTCTAGTCAGTCCAGCTCAGAAGCTGCTTCTGGCTCTGCCTGTGTGGATAAGACAGGTTTCTCCTCTGCTCAGCTTGAGGGTGGCACAAGTTACTGCTATGAATGGGCCCTTCCAAAGAGCAGGGACCCTCTGCACCCAGTGCTCCTGTGACTCTGCAGGCCAAGTTGGTGACTTGAGAGCCCAATCCACCCTCAAGGATTCAGGCACAAATCAAAGGATTTAGAACTGGAAGGGATTTCAAATACTTTATTTATTGATTTGAGAAAGAGAGAGCAGTGTGAGAGAGAGTGAGAATGAGAAGGGGGGAGAGCAGAGGGAGAAGCAGCAGTGTCTGCAATGCTCTTGGCTCACCTGGGGCTTGATCCCAGGACCCTGAGATCGTGACCCAAGTGGAAATCAAGAATCAGATGCCACATCTACTTAGTCACCCAGGCGCCCCTGGAAAGGACTTTAAAGACTTAAAAAGATAAAATCTCATCGTTTCACATGTGAAGAGCTGAGACCCTGTGAGAGCCGAAGAGCTAATTAGTGCCAGAGAAATGGGACAAGAACCCGAGTGTCTTCAGCAGGATCCTCGTAAACGGAAGAGCACATCGTTTTTTTCGGGAGATCTGTGAGTGCGGTCTCCAGGCCAGTGCTCATTTGTTCATGTAGTTACTAAGGGATATGGGTAAGAAGCATAATTATAGAAGGGGTGATTTGGGGCTTCGTATTTAAAGAAGTGAATTGTCATGAATCTGTCATGTGCAAATGACTGCCAAACAATGATCTTAACGCTGTTTTATAAAACAATCATAAGCCCCACAGCTTTTCCTTATTGGGATGTGTCCTTAACTGAACTTACGGAGATTAATACTTCATCTTCTAGCCCTCTGAGTGTCTCATGCACACATTGTAAAGGCTAAAGTTGAGATCCCGAATTCTCTGGCTTATATTTAGAGACAACTCCTTTGCTAGTAGATATTCTTTATCTTGGGCCTTAACACTACACAGCTGGGCATTCATTTAATGGGAAGACTTAAATTTTGTCCCTTCCAGGCATCCTGCCCAACTTGCAAAGTGGAAACCCTTGCGACTTTTTCTTTCACTTGTCCTGATAATGTCTTGGGTAGTCAAATAAATTTACACAAAGCAAAGAATGTTCAGGAAGCACAAACAAACACAAAAACACTTCATCATTAGCATCCTGAAAGCAAATTGCATTACTTTGGTCCTGGTCTCCGTAAAAACAGCAGTTCCCCATTATGCGCAGTTTTGCTTTCTGTGGTTTCAGTTATCCTCCAGTAAACATGGTCTGGAAGCAGGTGATACTCCTGACGAGTCGTCAGGAGGTCAAGAGTAGGCTAGCTAGTAGGCAAGCTGCGTCATCCTGTGGATGTCATCACCTTGCATCATCGTAGGTCATCCTATTGGGCAGGCATTTCACCATCTCTTATCATCAAAAGAAGAAAGGTGAGTACAGTAAGATATTTTGAGAGACGCAGAGACCACATTCACGTAGTGTTTATTATAGTATATTGTTATAATTGTTCTATTTTATTTTATTGTCGTTAATCTCTTACTGTGCCTGATGTATAAACTTTATCATAGGTGTGTATAGGGAAAAAGTGTAGTATTTAGATGACTTGGTACTATCTGTAATTTCAGCCATCCACTGAGGGTCTTGGAGCATATTCCTGTGGATAATGGGGGCCTATGGCACGTAGAAGAAGAATGCAGATACTGACTCTGTCAAGGTTTTTTTTTTTTTTAAGGTTTTTTTTTTTTTTAAAGCAATCTCTATACCCAGCGTGGGGCTCAGACTCACAACCTGGAGATCAAGAGTAGCTCTCTTGACTGAGCCAGCTAGCTGTCCCTCTATGAAAGTTTTAAAGCAGGTAACTTTTTATAAAAATGTACATCTACTATGTGTCATTTAAAAATATATATTCTTTAATTCACGAAAATGCTTTGTTCTCCTTCTGGTTGTTATCTGTCAAAGAAACTTATTTTTTGGGAAAGGATTTGATGTTATTTATATATTAGAGTATGCATTTACTTACCCAGTAAATATTTTGTGAACTACTATGTACCAGATGCCATACTAGGTGCTGCATACAATAAGGAGAAAAATTAGACAAATCCATGCATTTATGGTTTAGGCTAGTGAGGGACACAATATAATAACAAATCAGTGTAAAATTAACTTGATGAGTATTGTGAAAGAGATGAACAAAGAGTTAGGTGATGGGGGGATTTGACCTGGTTATAAAGGCCAAGGAAAGAAAGCTTCCCTATAAAATGATGCTTGAGCAGAAATGTGAAGGAGTTGGAGTTATCAAGGAAGAAACAATGATTCAAGTCAAGAAAAGAGTATATGCAAAGGCTCTGTAATAATGGAGGGTCAAGGGGTATAACTTGTATTAAAATTTTGCTTTCGCTGTAATATGGTGACTAGGTTTGACTGGGGCTGGAAGAAGTACAGGTAGACTGGCTAGGAAGTTATTAAAATAGAGAAAGCTTGGCTAAAGAAGGTGGAGAAAAGGGAGGAAAACATAATTTTGCCAGGCCTGAGGAATGGTTTCGGCATGTGGAGGTGAGGAAGAGGGAGGTATCATGGATGACTCTGGCTTGTTCAGCTGGATGACTTGTTCACTGAGCTAAGGGGCCACGGAAGGAAACCAGGTTAGGAGTATTGGTGGATGTAGGGAGTCACATAAGCATGACTTCTTTATGCTTGGGCACCTTTAGGAATCCCAAGAGGACGAGGTAAGCTGCCAGTCATATAATCAAGTTTGATGCTGAGGAGACAGAGGCTTAAGCTGGAGATATAAGCTTGTGAGTCCTCTTTGTGTGGATAGTAACAAAGATATTGAGTAGACAAGGGAGCACCTGGAAAGAGAATATTTTATAGTGGATTGTAAGTGCTTTGCTTTCCTCTGGGATGGGTCTTTTAAGGCTTGTCTGAGTATAGAATAAATGGCTTTGATTCTTGATCAAAGTCTTCCAGGTTTTAGTGCAAATGGACAAGCTTATGAATTGGTCAGAAATGTCCCTAAAATTATACCACACAGGTGGACCTTGTTGGGCTTGTTGAAAGTTTTTTTGTTATTGTTACCAAAAAGACATGAAAGATATTTTTTAAATCTTTAGGAAAAATAAACTCTTAGCTATCTGCTTGATGGGCAGATGGTACATATGGAGAGAAGATCAGGTAAGGTGCAGAGGTCTGCAAAGCAAATTAAATTCTGCATTGGCAAATGAACTGATTAAAATGATCAAAGATGTCCTCAATCTAAAAGTAGCTTGAAGGTATTTTGTGTGTGTATGAAGAATGAATTAATTTAAAAACAGAATTACCTTAACACATCCCTACTGGTTTTTAGAGGGCTGAAAGTGTTTGGTTCATTCTTTGTCTGTGTTCACTTTCTTTCCAAATGTAACATGTGATAGCAGTCCCGGGTAGGGGGCCGTGCTCCTTCAGATTCTTGCTCTTGCCGTATCTGCCAGTAAGTGGGGTTTAATATTCCTTCACTGATTTGTTCATTCTGGGTTGAGAAATTATCTTTTCGGACAAAAACAAACATTTGTTGATTATCTACTATGTGGTCGGCATTGTTCTGGATGTTCTCACCTCTGTCCTCTTATTTAAGAGCGGACCTACTTGTTAGGCATCCACTTCAGTACTACACACCGTGAAGAATACAAGTAAGTAGGAGCAAGAGTTTTAGCCTCATGGTGCATGTATTCTGGTTGGAATAAAGAGATGAGAAACTTGGAAACAATTAGGACACACTTTATTGCTGTATAGGCTACAATAATCTGAACAGTCTGCTTGAAGGAGGTAGGAGCTGAGCTGGGTTTCGCAATTTTTTTTTTTAAATTTCATTTACTTATTCATGAGAGACAGAGAGAGAGAGAGAGAGAGAGGCAGAGACACAGGCAGAGGGAGAAGCAGGCTCCATGCAGGGTGCCCGATGCGGGACTCGATCCCGGGGTCCCAAGGACCATGACCTAGGCCGAAGGTGGTGCTAAACCGTTGAGCCACCCGGGTTGCCCCTGAGCTGAGGTTTGAAGGAGGAAGGAGATTTCAGGAAACAAAATGAAGGTGGGGAGGGGACATCCCCAGTGGAAGAACAGTTGGAGAGGACCCCAAACTTAGTAAAGTCCAGGAAGAAGGTAAGCCCAACTACCAACTGTGGATACCCCAACAGAGCACCTTCCTTAATGACTGTGGACCTAAAGCTGATATCTGTTTGTTTGTTTGTTTGTTTATTTATTTATTTATTTAAAATATTTTATTTATTTGAGAGCAAGAGTGTGTGTGTGTGTGTGAGAGAGAGAGAGAGAGAGAGAGAGGGAGAGAGAGCACAGGCACAAGTAGGGGTGAGGGGTAGAAGGAGAAACCCGATGTGGGACTTGATCCCGGGACCCTGGGGTCATGACCCGAGCTGAAGGCAGACGTTTAACTGACTGAGCCACCCAGGCACCCTAAAGCTGATATTTAATGCCTGGAACTTTTTTAGTCAGCTAGGTAGCAAAAATAATAGCAAAAACTCATTAAATTTTTTCCTTTAATATAAAAGTATTAGAAACTTTCTGTAGACTATTTGGGAAAATACAACTGCATATAAGAAAGAAAAATTAAATTACCCCAATATTATTTTTGGGGTATTATTAATTATTATTATTAACATTTTGGTGTATATGCTTCAAGAAACTCTTGTATGCATGCAGATGGATAGACTAACATGCACAGAATCAACCAACAGCTCCCTAAAAGTAGAGTTTTCCATGGTACCATTATAGTGTTACATCCATTCTATGGACTACTATAAATAAAAATATTGATCGATTTACAAAGTATGCAGTACATGCACACAATAAAACACTACAAAACTCTTAAAAAGGATGGAAGGTAGATATGGATAATCTATATGTATACTTTCATAGAAGGGATCCCATCATATGTTATTACATGAAAACAAAGCTTGTTACAAAATATTATCGAGAAATAACCTATTTATTGGCATTATTTTAATTTTTAAAAAACATATCAGAAAAGCCAATAAATGGAGCACCTTGGTGGCTCAGTCACTTAAGTGTCTGCCTTCAGCTCAGGTCATCATCCTAGGGTCTGGGATTAAGCCCTGCATCTTCCTGTTCCCTGCTCAGCAGAGTCTACTTCCCCTCTCCCTTTCCCTTCTCCCCCTCTCTTTCAAATAAATAAATAAATAAAATCTTTTTTTTTTTTTTTTTAAGAAAACCCAATAAAGATCTTGGTTTCAGGTTGGACATTTTTCCATTTAAAAATATTTTTCTGGGGGATCCCTGGGTGGCGCAGCGGTTTGGCGCCTGCCTTTGGCCCAGGGCGCGATCCTGGAGACCCGGGATCGAATCCCACGTCGGCTCCCGGTGCATGGGGCCTGCTTCTCCCTCTGCCTATGTCTCTGCCTCTCTCTCTCTCTCTCTCTCTCTGTGACTATCATAAATAAATAAAAATTAAAAAAAATATTTTTCCGGGATGCTTGAGTGGCTCAGTGCTTGAGCATCTGCCTTCGGCTCAGGGCATGATCCTGGGGTCCTGGGATCAAGTCCCGCATTAGGCTTTACATGGGAAGACTGTTTTTGCCTCTGCCTGTGTCTCTGGCTCTCTCTCTGTGTCACTCATGAATAAATAAATAAAATAAAAAAAACAAAAAAAACTTAAAAAATATTTTTCAAAAACATAGTTTTTATTGGCTACAGAATGCATACATGAGTGTGCAACAATTTAGCCTTTCCTTTGTTGTTCCAATTTTTCGTCATTATAAAATCACATGTACACACATACACACGTACCATTAATGTATAGATTCCTAGAACTATTGAGTCAGGGGAAATAAATGTGTTTGAGATTCTTGCCAAATTGCTTTTTAGAGAACCTGTCATGATTTTTCATTTCCACCAACAGTTGGAAATGAAAAAAATGAAATGAATGTACACTGTTCCAACAGTGTACAAAAATCCAGTCTTCATTGTCCTTAAAATACTTTAAAATACCTTTTCAAAGTTAATAGGAGCAAAAGTATTTCATTGTTATTTGTATTTGTCTCATTTGTATTACCAGTAACATTCTGGATTTTTTATCTATCAGCCACTTATATTTGTATTTGAATAATTTACTTACTTTAAAAGAAAAAACAAAACAATTTTATAGGGACGCCTGGGTGGCTCAGTGGTTGAGCATCTGCCTTCCACTCAGGGTGTGATCCTAAGGTCCCGAGATTGAGTCCTGCATGGGGCTCTTTGCAGGGAGCCTGCTTCTCCCTCTGCCTGTGTCTCTGCCTCTCTCTGTGTGTCTCTCATGAATAAATAAATAAAATCTTAAAAAAGAAAAAAGATTTTATTTATTTACTTGAGAGAGAGCACAAGCAGGGGGAGGGGCAGAGGGAAAAGGACAAGCAGACTGCCTGCTGGGCAGGGAGCCTGTCACAACAATGGATCCAAGGACCTTGAGATCATGACCTGAGCCAAAGGCAGACACTTAACCAACTGAGCTACCCAGGCACCTGTAATTTACTTCTTCCTTTTTTTTTTAAACGATTTTATTTATTTATTCATGAGAGACACAAAGAGGGAGAGGCAGAGACACAGGCAGAGGGAGAAGCAGGCTCCATGCAGGGAGCCTGACGTGGGACTTGATCCTAGACCCCAGGATCATGCCCTAGGCCAAAGGCAGACGCTCAACTGCTGAGCCACCCAGGCGTCCCTACTACTTTTTTTTTTAAATAGTTCTTATCTTTTACCTATTTTTCTATTGTTAGAGTTATTAAAAAGTTAGTAGACTTTTTTAAGAGCAGTTTTATATTTATAGAAAAATTGAGCAAAAAGTACAGAGATTTTCCATATACCATCT